AAGAGAATTGAAAATGGGAGAAACCACAGTAGAGATGCGGGCGCTGCTTGCTACTAGCCACAGGCACCGGGTCCCGAGCACCGTTCCCTTCACAGTTAAGCGTATGAGGAACCGGTGTTCCTACCTCGTCCTCAGCCCAGGTCAAGCTCGACCCCGAATCGGCTTCGGACTAAAACCATCACGTTCCCAGGGGCTCCGGAGGGGGCTGCGTTCTCGCTCCCACCCAGCTCTCGGGTCGGCTCTGGAGCACACGTACTCCCTAGATCCGCCTGCTGCGACCCTCTCGAGTAGACCTAATGGGGCGCCGCTCCTCCTCCGACACCTCCCCACGCGCACTCGGGGGCGCACAGCCTCACCTCGAAGGAGTGTCTCCCACCCCTAGGGACCAGAGCCGATAAGTTACTCACTTAGGATTGAGGGAGCTCCAGGACACGGGCTCCAGGTTCTTGGCCAGCGGCGTGGCGAGCCGGCACAACACCAACACGACCATCGCCACAAGCCACTTGCCGAGCCAACGCTGCCCAGGCCGGGCCATCTTCCCGGGGGCAGGCTGTACTTCGGGATCCCCTGGCGCCTACTCAGCAAAGCTCGCCTCGCCTTCCCGTGCCGCGCTGCACTCGGAGCCACTCAGGCGCCCATCCTCTGCAGCCGCTGGCCTTGAAGTGCTCCCCTCCTGCCGGCTTCGGTGTCGCTCTTCTCCGCCCAGCGGGCCAGGAGGATTCACCGGGCAGGCGCCCCCAACCTGGGCATGGGTTGCGGCCTCGGAAGGTTCGCTCCTCTGGCCTCTCTGCCGCACGAAGGGTGATGGGGGCTCTGCGCCCCCGGGTCTGCCTGATTCCGCTCGGCGCCCCGAGACTGTTTGGGACCGCGCGCCCTCTCCGCGACGGGGTCTCCCCGTGGAGGACACGGTGGCTGCCCCAACGCCTCGACCGTCCTGGGACTGGCGTCCCTGGGAAGAAGTGGGGTTCTTCCCACAATGCGAGCTCGGTCCCCAGGCTCCCGACTGGGTCGCCCTGGAACGGGCTCTGTTCCTTCGGACTACACTGGCACTCCGGGCTGCGCGCCCCCCGACAGCTTCTACTTCAACGCGGGCCCCGCTCAGTGTACTTAAAAGAGCGATGAGGCGCTGCCGAGCAAGCCAGGCCCATCCGTTTGCGCCTCTGAAGTGTCGGCCGGGTAGCCCGGCAGCCCCGTCGCTGAGTAGCCGCTCCCCGGCGGTTGAACCCGAGGGTCTGTGGCCAGCGCGAGCCTCACACGCCTCCCACTGCTGTCCAGCGCGCATAGACTCCCTCCGCTATCGCTACGCTACCTACTCCCCTGCTCAGGCGAACGCAAAGCCAACCCTGCTTCTCCTAGCCAATAGCAAGCTCCGTGACGGGGTCCTTGCACCATGCCACGCCCCCAGAGCAGGAAGGGGGCGGAGTTTCAGGGAGCTCTTAAGGACGCCGCGATCGCGAAGGAGCCAATCTGAGTGTGCGGCACCTGCGGTTAGGATTGGGTCTCCCTTAGTTCTGCTCCCAGAGCGCTCAGTCCGTGGGAAGTTGACACTTCTGAAGAGCCGCGGACCTCCTCTTCTCCCCGCCCATCTGGTCAACACGCTGGTACACTGACCTGGGCCAGCTCTCCCTATCTATCCGAAGTTCCCCAAGAAACTACAGTACTTCCATTCTGTTGTACACATCCATACTCGCGCCTATACACGAGCCCTGAAGTCCTTCTCTGTGTCCTCCTCCAAGGCAAAAGCAGCCTTTCCAGTCCAGTCTCACTTAGGGCTTTGGTGGTGTTTTCTTCTTTGGCTGTCGAAAAGCTCTGTAGGTTTGCACTGAACAACAGCGGTAGCAGTGGGTGGTTGTGACTCGGGAGGCTTCTGTACTGCATGGGTAAGGTCAGACTGCTTGCTCCTGGTCGCATCACACGTAGAGCTCTTACAGGATTTTCCTCTTTTGTCCTCGAAACGCATTGTCTGCATTTCAAAACAAATGCGGTAGCACTGTGTGGTTGAGGCTCCGGAGCCTCCAGAACTGGGTGGGCAAGGACAGCCTGTCTGCTCCCTGTCCCATCTTACTAGGGCTCTGATGGACTTTCCTCTTCTCATCCTCAAAATGCGCCGTCTGTATTTCAAAACCGAAGCGGTGGTAGAGACTCAGGAAAAGTACTCGTCCAGAGGGGAAGGCGCGTTCTTTTGCACCGGAGATCAAGCCTTCAGAATCTCAAATTTGAGCATTGTGGGACCCCCTAGGAGTATAGATTTAGAGTCCTGTCATGTGCAAGGCCCCGGGATAGGCGAGCGTGTATAAAAAAACACAAATAGAAAAAGGTGCAGGACAGGAGCCTTTCGAAAAAACAAAAGCGGGCATCCTGTCTCTGAGATGCCCAACTTCAGCCTCTCTTGGCCTCGCCATTTGGGTCTTTGTCTTCCAGCCTTTGCCCATTCTCTCCGCCCCTCCTTTCCTCTTTGCTTATAATTTGGCTCTATCCCATAGCGCAGACCCCTCCGGATCTGATCTACTCTCCGTGGTCGGACCCTAGCAGACGTACCCACGTGCTAATGTCTCCCCCTGCTGGTGCTTCGTAGCACTTCGAGCGAGGGGACAAACCCGAAGCTCCTACTGGAAGGCGTGGCCCGCGCAAGCCTGGCACGCACATGTTTGAATGCAAGAGTTGGGACAGGCGTAGCCTTGCCCATTGTGCAGAGGGTGGGAAAGAACTAAGAGGAAGTTGGGATTGGCATTGGGACTACCGAGGGTAGAGAGTCTTCCTGCTACTCCTGTGTGGAGATAATCAGGTGAGCAACATTCCCTAAGTGATCTACCATATATGCAGTTTGATGTCCATTCTCACTTAATGGGAGGCTGAGCTACTGAGTTTCTCACTGCTTTCTCCTTCCTCTACTGATCTCCGTGGCTCTATTTGGGGGAAAATAAAAAGGAATATGCTGAGCCACTCCTACCTTCAGAGACAGGGGCCTTGAGATTGTGATGGCTCTTTGCAGATAGGGACCAACAAGACCTGTGTAGGGTCTTCCTGCTCCCAACTGCACTTTGCAGTAGGACCAAAGCAAGGAGATATAAGAACAAGGTACAAGGGGGCTCAGTGACACAGTGCATGCCGGTCATGCGGGAGGCCATTGGTTCAAACTGTAGTACTGCAAAAGAAAAGTCCAAGTCCACTGGAGTTGTCCAGCTGGGAGACTAGGACCCCTGAAGTAAATGGCAGGATATCAAAACCTGAATATCTGCTGCTTATTGAGCTTATTGAGCACCTACTTATATGTCAAGAAAACCATGTTTTTTCACCCCCATTTAAAATGAGTTCCTCTATTCCCATTTCACTTAAGGGGCAAACTAAGGCTCGGAGAGAAGAAATGACACCTGTGAGGTCACTGAGCTGATCATCTGGTGTCTATCCCCCAAATATCTGCCCATTCCCTGTACCATACTGATTTGCAACATTTCCAGTCCCTAATGCTTATTTGGTTCATTCCTGGTCAAAAGCTGGCTCATGCCTGGAAAGCAGCAGCCTTCAGCATGGCTAGGACTCTGCTTTGTTCAGTCCTCCAAGAGGCTATTAGGCCTAGGAAAGGTCATCTGTGCTCCTACCTACAGACCAAGTCCTTATCAGCTAGGGCCATTCCTGCCAACTCCATATTCAGCCTCACACTCTCCATATCCGTGGCCAATGCACCCACTGCCCTTGGGGAGGACAGCCCCAGTCAGATGAGGGCGATGAGGCTTGGGAAACCTGGGGAGACTGAAGCAGTTCCTGAATGTGCCAACAGCTCAAACTGGGAGGGGTCATGAGGCGGAAGAGGAAATGAAGAGAGTCATTATGTCCAGACCTCTTCCACATGCTGGTCACCCCTGGTTGGTCCTGGAACAGTCTTTCTGCCTCAACTTTCCCATGCTAGATACAGGAGCCTCAGGAGCAGGGCTAGACCTTCTTCCTGCCACATCCAGGCCCATGACTGTAAGTTCCCACCTCCTGCCGCACCCTAGCCAAGCCTCAGATGTAGTGATTCAGGCCCCAGAGGTAGGGAAAAATGATCTGCCAGGGCAGTCTGAGAGGGTGTCAAGTATCTGTGGGGGATAGGGCCCTCTTATCCAAGCCTTCCCTCCTCTAGTGGCTATCACCCCCCACCCAAGACTCCAGTCACTGTGTCACTACACACACACACACACACACACACACACACACACACACACGCACTATACACCCCTCAGGATTCAAGTCCATGGACATTTCCTGAGCTGTGCCTCTTTGTGACCTCTAAGGTGAACCAGTGCTGGTGACCCAGAAAGGAGGCCCAACAAGCCTTGCCTGAAGGAAGGCCAACCCTGAAATTAGTATGTGGGGACTTTTGGGCCTAGGGCTATAGAACATCTGAAGTCTGCAAGAAGCCTCAGGTGCTGTGTAGAAAACCCCTCAACAACCACTAAGAGTAGCTCCTTCCCAGCTTAGCTGGCCACACGAAGGGGAAGGAGGGTGCACCAAATGTCAGAGCCAGTGTGTCACTGCTGCTCAGCTGTGTCTCCTAGGGCAAGTCACTTCATCTCAGCGTGCCTCAGTCACTTTTCTGTAAACTAGAGATGCTTCTCCTCCACAGAGCCATGGTGAGGGGCAAATGAGCTAATGCCGAAAAAGGGCTCGACATCATACCTGGCCCACTGCAGGGTTGACTACATGGAAACTCTTATTCTTCCACAGAGCCTCCTACAGAGCACATTCCTACCGGTTCACAATGCTTTGTGTGCTACACATACATTCCTCAGCTCCTCTTGTAGTCCCCCACTCATGTACATCTTCACACCAAGCTCTCACTTTTTTTCATCTCCAGGCGGCAAACTCGGGTTTTGCCATCGTGGAATTCAGAGTCTCACCCCCACATTCGGTCATGTTTGCTGTCATCCATGCAGGTGCTTGAATATATGCACACTTCCTTTCTGTTCTGGTGGCCCTTGTCCGCTCTGCCTTGCCCTCTGAGACACAGAGGGAAGAGGTAACATGTCCAAGGTCACGCAACTAGGAAGTGAAAAAGGCAAGATTTAAACCTAGGAAATCAGGCTAACCAATTTGAGCTTCTAATTCGAACTCTACACCAACAGCCCATGGTTCTGGAAAGAAGTATGTGTCAAGGTGTAGGCCTTGATGATCCACTTGACCCGGCCCAAGCCAACACTTGGAAAAGCAACAGAAGGATCAGGGGGTAAGAATCATAGCCTGGGGCCCAGGGCGATGCCAACTGGAGCCACCCAAAGAAGCCTAGCAACCCTCTCTCTGTCTACAGCCATCTCTGGTTGCCCCATGCCTCTTATCTGCCTCCTAAAACACCTACTGCCTTTGCCTACACCTGCCTCACAGGTACAGCTATCAACTTGCTCCAGGGAGGGAAAGAGCTTCCACACCTTGAACCCCCAAGCCAGGCATTGTGGCTGGGTGCTTCTACCTGGAGCTATGCTACCTTTGGTCAATCTTCACAACATCTTTGAGGTTATTGTTGATAGACCTATTTTAGAGATGAGAAACTTCCGGCTCCCGGCACAATCCAGTC